TGTATGGAATTTATTTTCACTGATTTCTGACAAGTTGAATGTCAAATACAGGAAAAAAGGTATATTCACTGGATTTTATTTTCACTGAATAAATTCTTCAATGAAAATAAAGTATTTTACAGTAAGTTATCCATGGAAAATGACTTGCATGTATGTGAATCAACACTCAACGATTCTTGAATTATTTACTGTGACCAATCTTTTCTGTGTTCTAATTTAATGGTACAGAACTACCTCAAAATCATATATCGTATATATAAATTATATAAATATAATCATATTTTCATATATGTGAAAATTGAATTAATTTTGTAAAAAAAACAAACATTTTCATGAATCCTTGAAAATCAGGGACTTTTTCTCCGGAGGTCATGCAACAGCGAGTGTTAGCGACTTTTGTAGATACATACTTTATTATGATACACAATTAAGATCGTATTATGAGCGAACTCTGTGAATCCAAAATGCCAAAAAAATAAACTGAGATGAACTAACCCTAGTTCTTACCTCCTGTAATTTTCACTGGGTTTAAATTTCACTGATTTACCATTTCAGGCGTATTCAGTGGGTTTTAAATTTTCGGTTTTATCATTCAGATAATGTGTTCTATGCTAAATTTTACATATTCACTGGGTTTTAATTTAGCGCATTTTCCAGTCAGCGAAATAAGCAAAATTAAAACCCAGTGAATAATTAATCCTTTTACAGTAATTTTCTCATACTTTCTAAACTGATGGAACAATTCCACCGATGTATTTAAATTCCTGCTGAGAACACTGAGCTTATTCTGAAAGATGGACTGGAGCAGGAAGTCAGTAGAAGACAAGAGATATAATCAGTGAAATTTAAACGCAGTGAAAATTAGTCATTTTACAGTACCCATCTATGTGGAACTACATGTAAAAGCATGTATTTTGTTTCCCTCATAGTATTTTGCTTATTATGAAAATATATTTTAATTTTATTTTACACTTATAGTCACTTGCTTTTTCTTAAAATTGTGTGAGACAATTTATCTCATGAGAGTAAAAACCGAGGGACAAAAAATTAAACCATTGTGTCTGGTGAAAAAACTTGAAGCTCAGAAAAATAAAAACAGGAATCACGTTCAATCATGCTGACCTTGAGGGAGAACTTTGTTTTGTAAATATTACGAGTGACCATGACTTCAATCAGACACCGATCACTCCGCGATAACACTAAATATAGCTTATGTTCTACTGAAACTTAAACTGTTACGGTGTAAACATGACAATTTACGTTTCCTGCGAAACTCGATCGCCGAAAACAAGTGTTTTTTTATCGAGAACGCTTAGCGCCATTGTCGGGTGATATAACTATAAAAACAAAACAGAGAAACTCGACACTACAGGTACATGGTACGTACTTCAGATATGCTACAATCTCGGTACCCAGTATTTTAGTTCTAGCGGGGATCGTGGCCTGGAGGCGATTGTTCCAGTTCGCTGCATCGTAAACAGCACACACGATAACCAACGTCTCGTTGAAAGTGTTAATCGTTTTTTATCATGAATCGCTTAGTGAATTATTGTCATCGATTAACGATTAATTAGCTACGTAAGACCGATAAAACTCACCGTAAATGTGAAACAAAGATTAAACTTTGACTCTGTTGAGCATCACGCCGTAATTTTCACCAGGACCGTTCGAATAAAGCTCAGGAACGCAAGATCTCCAATCTTCTGTCAATTCCCCATGTCCGCCATTTTGCTGACCGAGCTCGCCATCATGCTTGGTCACGTGATAGTTGTTGCCTAGCAGCAGGCGCAGCAGTGAAAACAACTAACGAGAGAGAAAAAAACGAAACGTAACTATCAATTAAACGGTATGAAAATACTGAATAAAAAATACCGAACAGCAACTTATAAATGTAGATCAATAAACTCACAGGCTAATGTACCAAGATCATACGCGCTTCCGTGTGAGGTTTGCTGTTGACGGAGAGGGGCGTCCCGGGTTTAATCCCGGCGGACAGTTGATACGTAGCTGGGTAGGGAGGTGCCCCTGAGTGCTCAAAAGTGTGACCATTTTTTTTTTACCTGGATAGTGGCAAAATCTATACCCATATTTATACTAAAGTACCATTTTTATCATCACTTTTTATTCCAAATAAAACAGTTACCGTATTTGCTCTGTTAGAAGAGCATCTCCAATAGAAGCACATGTAAGCCAACAGTTGCATTGTATATTGATTTATTAAAATATGTATTTTGACCATAGAAATACCTCTGTCACTTACACAAGAGCATATTATTAACACAATGTTCAGGTTATTTAAGTTGTTAAATGAGAAACATCAGTTCGCTTTCTCTTTGAAATATTACCGATATTTATACCTACTAGTATCTTGACCACAGAAATAAGACCGATACTTATACCTAAAATCCAAAAAACAAGACCCATTTCAGGGGCACGTCCCCATTAGGCAAGTTGCCCCCCCCCCGGGTATAATCCTCATGTTGTTATAAAAACAATGAATTAAAAAAAATGAGCGAAGAAATTAATACCAAGCAAAATAGACTACGCGGATCGTGGGAACTATGTAAAATGTTAAATGTTTTAAGTCGAACTAGGATTCGAATTGAGAACTATTTTCTATTTTCAATTTATTATTTGTTATTTAGCTGGAGAAAATGAAAAAAGTAATTTTTGGGCTGACAATATTTCGAGAAATGAACAATACCGGTACATAAGTCGTCATCAGTGAGCGCGTCAGCTTACCCCAGACCATTCGTCAACACCGGGACGAATGGTCTGGGGTAGCGTCAGCTAAAAGAATTTGCACAATTTTCACAATCGATTAAGGCTGCCACGGTACAATAACAAAACACTTAGAAAACAGAAAGTTAAAGCGGGGAATAGTCACGTGTGCAAGTGGTGGACGGACAGCCATAGCGTATCGGAGTTATCCTAAATAAATCCATGCTCTGATATTATCACCTAGTTTCTACTTTGGCCAAGGAACATTTAAATGGAGAGAAATTTGCCATTGTTGTAGTACAATCATTCGGCTTGATTGCGTTCCATGGTATTTTTCAGTACGCATTGTGTTGGGTTCTGAACTACCTGGCCAATGCTTTCCATGGTATTTTCAGTACACATTGTGTTGGGTTCTGAACT